GAGTTGCAGTGCTTTTACAACTACACTTGTCATCCCGAATAACTACATCTGCCAACTAGGATGGCAACTAAATTGTCATCCCGCGGTGTACCTAACATAGCTGCGCCAGGACGTGTGGGCATTTTTGCTTCGTGCCACACACGCGGAGTGGAGATGAGTAGTATTTGTTGGCGTGTGGCACGAAGTAGCCGCGCCCACACTTGTGGACAATTCTAATGTCCGCCCACACACAGCCCGTGTGGGTTATTTCCTGCTCATACCATACACGGTGTGTGGGCGCATGTCAAATATACCACACGTGTGGCAGTTATCGGCGTCCAAATAGTTTTAGTGCGCCACTGTAGCACTTTTAGCACGCCGAACCGAACATTGGCTTAGCAGATGACCAAAAACGCGTGCCCAAAAAACCACGCAGTGTAAACTATGAAGCGTGCACAATCCGGTACCTCAAATTTGCAGCTTTTGAGAGCGTTTTTCAGCGCACGCCCAACCCTTTTGCGCCCGCATTATTTTACAGCTTCTGTTGAAGCTGTCCAGCACCCAAAAAATCCAAATTTTAACACGCGAAGCAGTTTTGGGGCGTCTGTTGGAGATGCTCTAAGTAACCGTTGGATCAAAAGTTATCGTAAGATGCTCAAAAGTTGCACGTCGGCATGTAGTACCAGATGGAAATATCACACAGGACAAGCAGCCTTATCCATTCATCATCACTTCGTCCCCAATCTCAATCCTCACGAGGAAAAACTTCTACAACATTATTCTTGCAGCAAAAGTCATTCCACAATAACACCCGTGTTGCAAAAAACTGAGAGAAATTTTTTTCAACAAGACGTCTATTGCAAAAGGGTTCTGCAACATCACCTTTGTTGCAATTGTGAAAACAACGATGGCCCGCAGATCTAACGACTATCAGGGCGGCGGATCTGGCCAACACGTAGCATGCCCCATTGTTTTTCAAATTCATACCGAGTTTAAGGGTCCGCAGGGTGACAGATTGCAAGCTAGCCACACCAGCATGATTGCCAATATTTAATCATCATGTCGTATACCTCGTTTGCTCTCTTAGTTAGCTCTTTCAAATACTTCCTCCGTTCCTAAATATAAGTCTTTTTAGAGATTCCAATAAGGAACTACATACGAAGCAAGATAAGTGAATCTACATTTTAAAATATGTCTATATATATTGTATATAGTTTGTATTGAAATATCTAAACAGACTTATATTTAGAAATGGAGGGAGTAACTCATATAGTCACGACGACAAATTTTCTGCTCACCTTTCAAAAACAAAATTAGCATACGATGGGGTACACCAATCAGTTGGAAAATTCAAGATAGAAACAACTGCCGCTAGACATGCATGAAACTATACTCAGATGAGCTCCAGGAAGAAGGAAATATTATTTGCTATTGTTTAGCAACTCAACTCTGCATCAAATACAGGCATCATAGTGTTCAGACAAACCTGAACCAAGGTCAAATATGCGATTACCCAAATATAGATACAGGGGATCTAAGTTATCATATAGAATTTGGGGCGAAACCCAGGTTCCTCTATTTTATGAAAATCCATTGTTCTGCCGGTTTTTTCATCAATGATAGCAAACAGGTGTTTTTATATGCGACTATCAATATCACAGTAAACTTGAGGCCTTTATAGCAAACCAAGGGAGTACGTAAAGGTAAAAGCTGAACCAAATGAAAGTTGTCCATTGGTGACATGCATTCTCGAACCTGTGGTGTATAGAGAGCATCAGTCGCTGACTCTCCGGTCAAAATCCAGGAGTCCTTATGGGAACAGAGTAAACTCAACTGGAAATCATTGTCAATTAAGGAACACATTAACTTCTCATTTTGTCAAGCTAATGCACCTGAAAGAATAGGAAGATTGGGTTAAAATGTGTACCAAAAGACATTTGCTAATCATGGGCAATTACTTAGTGTAATTTGATGCAACAGGACACCTTCACTTAAAATACAAAACTGAATTATCATTTAGCTTATTAATCTTTTTAAACATGAGATTCTTAGTTATTAGAGCAGCTTAATCATTAAGTCAATGTGCCAATCTACCTTATAAAGGATGAAGGAGGTAGGGGTGGGCACTTTTGAACCGAAAACCGAAAAACCGAACCGAACCGAACCATATTAACCGATTTATCTATTAATTCGGTGATTCGATTTTTTGTTCGGTGGGAAATTTTAAGGTTGTTTGATGTTTGGTTTTTGTTCGGTTTCCAGTGTCCAAAAACCGAATACACCGAAAAAACCGATATGTACGATACCCCATTGCAATACCTTGTTTTCGAAAATGCAGCGGGGGCGCGTCCTCTAGCAAATACTTGTTGGTTGTGGCAGACGTCAGGCCAGCCGCTAGATGAGTTTCTAATCTCACAATCTAATTAGTACTCGTAGGAGTATGTATGCATGCCCGGCGCTTGGTTATGGAAGTAACTAGCAATTGGTGTATCAATTAGTGCATGAGTTGCTTAGTTTACACGCATCACATATATTCTTCCGTACATAACACATGTTAAGGTTGCTAGCTCTTGTGATATATACTGATGAGTGCACGTATTTTGGTTTTTCGGTTAACCGAATAAACCGAACCGATATATTATGGTTAATATGGTTCGGTTTCTAAATATTGTGTGATTAATTCGGTTTCCATTTCTTCAAAACCGAAATTATAAAACACCGAATAAACCGAACCGTATTAACCATATAAACCGAATGCCCAGCCCTAGAAGGAGGTGCTAGGCACAACCATCGCTCGAGCGCACCGCACCACGCGAGGGGTAAAAACCACCGCATCACGCGCGAGGGCGCACCGGACCACACGAGCGAAAAGTGCGAGCGAGCGAGCCGGCCTGCATCTCCCCCTTTCGCTCGAGCCGTCGTCTCCCCCGCTCCCCCCGAGCCACACGCACACCCAATCCCCTCCCCTCCAACCCTAGCCGCCTGGCTCGCTTCCTCCTCCATCCTCCCGCGGCGCAGCCACTCCTCTGTCTCCTATCCCTTCCGCCGCCGCTCGTCGCAGCTCCGCCTCCCTGCCTGGCAGCGGCCAGAGAAGGGCCTCCCCGCCTCACCTCCTCTTCCTCTCTTCCCGAGGGTGCTTGCCGGAGGGATCGCGCGGCGGCTCTATGGCAGAGACGGCAGCGGCAGCAGAGTCGGATAGCGGGAGCGAGGTGGGCCCAACCGGGGACTCGGCGGAGTTCGCTTCGCCGGTGAAGGCGAGGAAGAGGGCGCCGGAGTCGGAGGCCGGCACCTCGGCGACGACGGCGTCCGAGTCCTCGGAGACGAGGGTCGACGATGGCAACATCCAGGAGGCCGAGTCCTCGCTCCGTGAGGGCCTCTCCCTCAACTACGAGGTATGGAATCGTTGCTTCTAAGCTTCTGTTTTTCTTTTCCTTTCTGCCCGATCTTAGTCTGGGAGGTTGCGCGAGTTGCTCGGGGTCTGTTTGGGTGAGATGGAATCGAAAGATTAGATACTTTCGGTTATTCTCCCCGCCTCTGTTTTCAGCTGCAGGTGGAGTTCTAATTTAGCGACCCTGTGAATCATCAATATTTGGTTATATAGATGCCCAAAATGTCTGATTCTGGCTTTCAAGCTGAAGAAAATTCTAGCTGATGGTGACACAGAACAAAACGGTGGGGACAAAGTTGATAATAGCGACAATGCAAAGAAGGAAGGGGAAGGAATCGGGGAAAGCTTGTGAAGAGAAGGCCCCTGAGAACACTGATGCCAAGGAAGAGAACTCAGATGATGCTGAGGAGTTGAAAGTGTCAGATGCACAAGGGAGCGGGCTGCTCTCGGTGCTCGACCGGACGCTCACCGACAAGGAGTACCGTTGCGTGTGCGCCCAGGTGCAGCGCAAGGGCATGGAGGCGGAGGGGTACGCCGTCGAGGGGATCTCGGTGGGCGGGCACAAGACCTGCATCATAGTGCCGTCCCTCAACGTCGCATTCGACATCGGCTGTGGCCCACTCTTCGCCGTGCGCCATGACCACCTCTTCATCACGCACGCCCACCTCGACCACATCGTGAGCATCTGAGTCCTCTTCTGGTTCGTCTCGTCTCTGTTCTTCTTGGTTAATCGGTTTGCATATGCGGTCTCTAGCTAAGCTCGGATGCGCCATTGCGAGATGGTGCTCATGCATGTGCCTCATTAGCCTATCAAACGGGGTGATACTTTGGTTTAGATGCTTGCAGTCTACCTGGTGAAAATTTTGTTTGCTCCTTGTTGGTATTGGCACGGGTGGCAAGTAAAGAAAGAGTCTAGGTGCGTCAAAAAAAGATAGGATGTGTAGTTGCTTTTGATGTTGCCCTGTGTTTGTTCTTCTAGGAAGAAGTAGATACCGTTAAAACCTTCAGATTGTTTTCTTATGTTGAGCTGTCAAATGGTTATTAGAATGCTCTTGATGCATTTTTCTTTTGGTTCTTTTGTATACGCGTCTTACAGATTGTCCCCATGCGCATTTTGCTTTGCAGGTTCATGCAATTCAGGAGCAATGCTGGTGCTAAGAACGCTGGCAATGCAAAGAAAAAAAGGCGGTAATTCATCTATCGTCTAAGATGACCATGGGTGCATGGCAAGCCACATTTTTCTTCCATGCATTCAGCTCAGTTTCTACTTCTGTAGAATTCATGTTTTCTAATTAAATTTGCATGCATCTTATAAACATGCTGCTTGCTGATGGCTGAGCACTATTTATGCACTTTTAAGTTGCTGCTAGATAACTTATATTTATGCCCTCCTGATCCAAGCTGTTTTAAAAAGCTTTCTGATGCTGTGTGATACCCTAGATCTTTCACTAATTTGACCATGATGCTATTCCAACATGCATTGTGTTGCGATCACATTTGTCTTTTTGTTAGCTGATATGTTCCTGAGATCTACATTTCCTACCGATGACTCATAGACTACATATATGATTCTTTCTGTTACTTCCCATTTTTACTTGTATACGTGTGAGTGCCAGCTAAATCAGCCTATCTTATGAATTTCCTTGGTTTTTTGCATCAGGTTCTTCTGTATATCGACGCTCGCTGCTTTGGCAAAGGCCCTTATAACCTACACCGGCTAGGACTAGCCAAGATCTCGCCGCAGTTGTCTTCAACTCTTCATGCACTTGTCTTTGCAACCTTTTGGACACACTGCTACTATTTTGCTTGTGTGTTTGCAAATCCAGGTTTTGGTGCTCATAGAGTAATGCCCAAGATCTGCTGATGCAATTCTCTATTAAGCTCTGTTGTCGTAGACCATTTTTATATGTTGTGAATATTGTCGTTCGAACTATCTTCTTACCCCTGTCTCTTCTATCCATTGTAAATATTATTGCACTGCGTTACCTGATCTATCTATAATTATCGTCAGTAAAATGCTACCTGCTTTAAGACTTTTATGCCTACATATTCCCCATTTCCAATGTTCTGTTTGGTAACACAATATTGTCTACCTTAGCTATGCATTCTTCAAAATGAATGTCTACATCTTAAAGCTAATAAATAGAACTTGACGATGCATGTTTGCTCTATTTTTTTGTCAAAAGTAGCTACTGGCTTATTCTTGATCTCTAGGCAATACCACCTTACTACAATGTTTTTACTAATTTCTCAGCACTTGCGCAGAAAGACAAGAGCTACGTGTTGCTCAAGGAACAACTTGCTGTTGTTGCTGTGCTAGACGACCTGAAATGCAAGACAGAAAAAAGGATCAAGCAGTATTATGATATTCGATCACAGATTGAGAAGATATGCTCCGAGTTAAGTGAGCATAATGATCAGGGTGATAATGTAAACAGTCCAGCTGGTGATGAACATGATTTGTCGACAAGGAAGCTTAATAGCTACCAAGCACAACTTCGTGCTCAAAAATAAGTTAAACCGTCCTGAATAAGCTAGGTAATCTGAAACCTACAGTTGGCCTTCAAAATATTATGTTTCTTGCACTACATGTGAATAAATAGAACTGGCAGCTGCTAAGGAATACTTGAGTATTCAGGAATGGTTCAAGTCAGAGAAAAAAGACCTTAGATTTTGCGGTATATGCTTTCTATAAAGTGGTAAGATGATTAATTTGTTAAGCTAGCCACTGCCATGTAATTTGTATCAACTATCTAGGACTGCAGGTCATCTAATTTAAGTTACTTTAGGATTGAGTATTGATGCGAAATGTTTCCTTATTTGCATTACTTTCAGTCTGATAGACTTCACAAGATTCTGAAATATGTAAATGAAGGCATTCTTTATGTGGAGTTATTGGAATTGATTTCCCAAAGACTGTAAACGTAATTCATCCCAGTCTACATCAGAATGGTGCTGAGCAGTCCAGAAACATGAGCAATGGGAAGGCCTTCCTAGCACAATATCAAATCTTAAAGAAGAGAGAAAATCTAGAATCGATAAGGTACTCTCAAGGTTCCTTTCTTCTCGGTTTTTGTTATATGAGTTCTGCACAATACATTCTCAAGCAATCGATTGCCTATAGATGAGAGACACAATGGAATCATTATGTCACCTCTTGAAGTTAATGGATTCTTCTGAAGAGGAGAAAAGACAATTCAGCAAAGTAATCAACATTCTCATATCACTAGAAGAGGGAATCACATCCGCTGGTGTTCTTTCGTAGGAAACAATCGGGAAGGTTTACTAGAAGAGGGAATCACATCCGCTGGTGTTCTTTCCTAGGAAACAATCGGGAAGGTTTTACAGATTGCCTTTGGTTTTTCTTTTATATCCTATTTGTTGCTTACCTTAATCATTTTTTACACTTTAGACCTCATTACTGTCTCTGTGGTCAAAAGAAGCTTGTGATCACTTGTTCTATATATGTAAAACTACCCTTCTACTAATATTTTCAAAAGACTATTTATATATGTTTACACTGGTTAGAGAAAATCATGACATTGCCAGGAACAATTTTTTATTTTTGTATGTTTCACTCTGTCTCTAAATATTTTTATGTGTACTCTTTCAATGCTTGTCTTTCTCTCGCCCTTTGCGCCTGCTGGGTTTGAAAAACACAGGATGGAATTGTTAATTCATTATCTCTGTCTGAAGCAAGACATTTTTGGTACACTGTTGAATAGAGTTGATGTATTAGCATGAGTAACATTGCGACATTTTAAGGGTTGGTGCTAGAACCCCACCTAGAAACCATTGTTTTCCCAGCAACTATGTGGTTCATATGTTGATATGATTGTTTACTGGTAGGACAACCAGGAGGTAGTGCAATATCCTTATTAGTTATACTCAGGGATGCAAAATCTTCACCTGATGATTCCACCCCTTTTTACATGACACTAGCTGCCGCATAGTAAAAAGTGTCTCGTCGATGCTCTTTATGACACTAGCTGACAGATTAATGAGTGCACTCATAAAGAACATAACAAGGTATTTTAGGAAGTGCTTGGACGAGGTTCAAATTTTTGACAGTCTTAGGCCCGCTTTTTTTACAGTGTTGGTTTCAAGTTTTTTTTTCGACATAGTTAGACTTTCTGAAATACAGCCTTGAACTACACATGAAGCAATAGTGTTTATTTGGTCACCAGCAAGATGATGATGTGAAACGAATGACAATTTGCGTCTTTCAGAGTTTCTACCATTAAATAGTTTCCCATAACAGAATATTTGCTAATATTGGTAGCTAAAAATGAGATACTTATGCTTGTTGATGCCTTCCCTTTTTGTAGTAACATCCATGTGTCCAACATATGTAGAATATTAGATTTTTTTGGCTGTTTATTGTAGTTCGTTCTCAAGGTTTGGAAAATTCTTTAGCTATATTCCTTTTCTCAAGCGAGCATGAGCAATATCTTCTTTATGCCGCATGCCGCCAAGTTTCTCTATTTTAGATGGTTGTGTATTTTCGCTTCTAAAAAGGGATATGTATTTTATTAATATGACTATAATTTGTGGTAGGTACATACTGAAGGATGTTCCGAGGATAGCACCAGGTTTAGAAGTTTTGCAATTCACAACAATACCTCATAATTTTGATTTGATGTCCAGAATGTCAATTGAAGAATGAGCCTATGAACTGCATTGTATTTTGGGATATATCCTTATATATGGTGCTTGTGGATTTTTTTGCAATTATAAGTTTACATTTATGGGTATTATAGAGTCCTTTCTTTTTCCACAAGGGGCAGTAGCCGTGCCATTCGATTCGAAGGACAAAAAGTTGATCACAAAGGGGTAGCACTCAGGATATATACACAAGAGTATAGAACCAAATTATATGATGTAATTGACCACTATTTCTATTTACTTCTCCTGTACAAATGTTCACGAGTTCATGTATTAAGTACATTTTATTGTGTCACTTGTGTTTACTCTTTTTTAATAAGTTTACAGCTACTCAGAGTTCGTAATTGCAGACTCAATTATTTGACCTACCGATGATTTAATTTGTGGCATTATTGCCTTTAGAAAATATTTGCATTTAATTCCCTTTATGTATAGGGGTATAACTTCTTATCAAATGTACTCAAATATAGATTATTAAAAAATGCAAATATTTTCAACATGAACATGGTTTTAAACGGGTCTGTGCGCCATTTGGCGCAACTGGTCATCTAGTTAAAATAACACATGAAACAGTATAAGCATTTGGAGCTACAATCACAAAAGCCGAGATAATGCAAAAACGGTTCTCACAAGCATAGAAATGAGAGAGTTTTCGAAAATGCGAAACAGAGACCGAGCTCCATGGAGGCCTTTATTTGAAAACCTCAAAATTCAAACTTTTCAGTTTCAAAAAGTCTGAAAATAAATACACATATACCTAGATATATAATGTACATGTGTGCAAATTTTTAGGTCGAAATACATTAAAACGTGAGCTACACAAAAAAGACAAATTTGGAGCTTTTTAGCATATGTACTGTTCATCTTTAAAGTCCATGATTTTTTTTGCAGCTAGCTCACAATTCAAGGTATTTCATCCTGAAATTTTTCACACATGCATTTTACATCCTTGCATACATGTCTATTTTTTCAGAATTTTTTGAAACCAAAATTTATGAATTTTGAATTTTTCAAAATAAAGGGATCCATGAAGCTCGGTCTCCAAAATGCCCTACTCGAGAGTTTTTCTTTACTTAGCACTTCTAACTATATAAGTTACCCTATTTTCGATATAGCGGAGAAAAATAACATTGTTTTCAAGAATTATGCTCTACCTGACGGAAATCCATCCTGCTGCCCTTTTTATCAAGTATATATAATACAGTAGGTGTTCCCTGAATATCAGTGAGTATCACAGAAAACTTAAGGCCTTTAGAGCAACTCCAACGGGCCGACCCAAACGGACGGCGCTTTCGTCCGTTTGGGTCGGCCAGGCGGACACGAACGTCCGCTTCCGCGTTTGGATCGGCGTATGCATCCAACGCTCTGTCGACCCATTTTGACGGCGCGACAAAATAAATTGTGCATGCATATTTCAAATGAAAACAACTTAATTAAACATTAAAGCCGGCCAGGAAGCCGGCGAGAGTCCACGCGTCCACATTAGCATTAAAAAGAAATTAAAAACAAGCTAACTACGGGGCGGGGCGTTGCCCAGCGCGCCCTAGGCGTCGTCGTCGTCGTCGTCCTTCGGGGTCGGTGAGGTCGATGAGCTTCGGTGCAGGGCCGGCCCACGGGAACACCGTGGCCCATGCGGCGGCGATGTAGGCCGGGGTCAGCTGTTCTGGCAGGGGCAGTGCCGGCGCGGGGGCAGTTCCGGCGCGGGGGGCTATGCCGCCTCCTGTGCATCTGCGGCTTGGCGCGCCTCCTCCTTAGCCTCGCGCGCCTCCTTCTCGAGGTCGCGCTCGAGCATCTCCTCATACTCGCCGCGACGCCGCTCCTCGGCCAGCGTCGCTGGCGCCAGTGCTCGAGGTACGCCGCCTCCTACGCCGGGGTCGCTGTTGGTGTCAAAATCGGTGGATCTCGGGTAGTGGGTCCCGAACTGTGCGTCTAAGACTAATGGTAACAGGAGCCGAGGGACACGATGTTTACCCAGGTTCGGGCCCTCTCGATGGAGGTGATACCCTACTTCCTGCTTGATTGATCTTGATGATATGAGTATTACAAGAGTTGGTCTACCACGAGATCAGAGAGGCTAAACCCTAGAAGCTAGCCTATGGTATGATTGTTATTGTGTCATACGGACTAAACCCTCCAGTTTATATAGACACCGAAGGGGGCTAGAGTTACACAGGGTCGGTTTACAGAGAAGGAGATCTA